TACGGAGAAGATTCTTTAAACTACACATTGGATTACATAGCTGTCACCACTTGAATGCTAATAAAGGGCTGCTACATTGTGTATAGTCTAAAAGTTTGTGAATCATGTTTGTGCTGTGAAATACATTGATCACTGAACTTTACCTAGTATTATTACCTTTTAATGGCCTTTGATGTCGGTGTGTTCTGGTTGTTTAAGAATTCAGAAATAAATATGATGTGCTATGAACAAAGTGTATTATTCTTGGGAACCATAAAATCAAAGAGAAAATAGATGAAAGGATAAATAATATATTTCGTTAGCATGAAAATCAAATATTGAGAAATTAAATATGAATCTAGTGTGCTTCAGACTTGCACTTCATCTTTCTTGCTTTGTTACATAAAGTCTAAGATATAATTAACCCATCATTGTAAACACTTAGAGTTGGCTCTTGATTAATTGGCAGCGGCATGATGAGTGCCATAATGAGAACGTGAGACTTAGAGTGAGGGCTTTGCCACTGGCTTGTTTGTCTGCCCTGGGCGGGGGACTCCCTCTTTTTAGTGGAGTGGTGCTTAGTCTTGGCAAGATAACCCTTGGTTTCTTGGGGCATGAGAAGCCAGCACAGGGCCTAAGACTTTTGAATCAGACCTGTTTTCAGTTCTGTCCCTGCCAATTACCAGCTTTGTGACACTGAGCATGTTTTTTGACCACTTCAGACTTGGGTTTCTAATCTGTAAAATGGGGTAAAAATACCTGCATTTTTGCTATGAGATTATATGAAATGCTTAGTACAGTGCCTGGCACAGAGGAAGCGCTCAATAAATTGTTGCTATTATTATTATTATTATACCATGAATAAGCATTATAGAACTAGGATATGATAGTTTATTCCTGTCTGAAATTTTTAAATATTTTGATATTTTACCTAATTTCCCTCGAAATAAGGTATGCATGATGGTTTTAAAAAGAGAGAAGGAATAAAATTTTTAATATTTTTCTTTGCCTCTGAGAGATACCTGAAACAATAATTCCTTTGACCCTATATTACCCCTTGACCTGCGGTGATTCCATATGCTATATTACAATGTGGTTTCATTGCATAATGGTTATCTAGTGATTAAAGGTAATGATTTTTTTTTCATATCTAGAATATTCTTATTCTCTAGAAAAGAACCCATCAACTTGGTTCCACTTTTAAGATAATCAAGTCATTCTGTGTTGATAGGAGCTAAAGATAAAGCTATATACGACCTACTTTGCTCAAACCACAAACTATTAGCTCAGATTGCCTTTGAGAGAAATTGAATGAGTAATCTTACTAGGTGAGGAAAATTCCTCATAACTAGCTTCTGAACTTCTTTGTGTTTCATATATTCTATGATGGCATTCAAGAAGTTGAAAATAGTAGTATTCAGAATGTGGAGTACTCGTCATAACTAATGCTTTGTATGCTGAGTAACAGAACTGTCATTGCCTTGATCCAAGCCCCCACTACCACTTAACCTGGATGATTGTTGTGGCCTCATAACTCATCCTAACCCTTTAAGTATTTTAACTTGGAGTCTTTGGTATTTTAGTATATATATCTAGTAGTCTGATATTCAGCACCTTGCTGCCTAACTTCCCTTACGCACAATTCTGATTCTGTTACTTGTTTAAAAATCCTCAGTGGCTGCCCACTGTCTATATATTCTACTACTTAACCTTTAGATCATGACCGAGTACCAATGTACCTTAGCCAGATTTGTCTGACAGTGTTCTTTTTCATACAGTATATGTGATAGTCCCTGTCTTCCTCAGCCTACAGGTCAACCCTGATCTTTTAAGCTTGTCATTTAAACTCTGATGAGTAAGATCAGGAATTAGCCAGAGTGCCTGAGATGAGACTACCAAGTTGTAATCTCCTTAACAGCAAAAACCTAGTGTTCGCTCTTGATTAATTGGCAGTGGTATGATGAGTTCCATAATGATAAGAACATGAGACTTAGAGTGAGGGCTTTGTGACTGACTTCTGCCCTGGACTAAGTACTCTTTCTCTTTGCCAAGATGACCCCATTTGGTAGGGGTGAATTTCTTTTTTCAATTTTCTTCTTAAGCTTCCTTACTAAATTAGGTCATCTTTGCTGAACCCTAGCCCCCTTCTCTAGGATCCTGAACGCTACCCATTTAATTTTGGCTTTGATTCCAAAGCTCCTTGTTTGGGCTCCTGAAACAATTAAGTAGAGATCTAAACTCCATTTTTAGGTTCTGGCCAGCTTCATTTCCTGAATATCATCACATACATAGTTTATTTATTTATCATTGGGCTTCAAATTGTTCTATCCATTCTCTTGTACATGAATGCTAGCCAGGAATTTACTTAAGTTTACCATACCCCAGATTTGGCTTCTAGATACAGGCCTGGCAAACTAAGGCCCTCGGGCCAAATGTGGCCCAGCTGCTTTTTTCTTTTTCTGAAAATAAAGTTTTATTGCAACATGGCCATGCCTACTCATTTAGATATTATCTACAGCTACACTACAATGGCAGCGTTGAGTAGTTACATCGGAAACCATATGACCTGCAAAACCTTAAATATTTACTATCTGATCCTTTAGAGAAAATGTTTGCTGACCTCTGATCTTAAGCCAAGTATTTCTCCTATCCTTGTTATTGCTTACTCTTTGATAATTCCTCATTTCCATCCTATCAACCAGTACAAACCCAGAAGACCAGTCCATCGAGACTATTATGATAGGTTCCAACCCCTTCAAACTACTCGCTTAAACTTGAATTTCCCTACTTCCTCTGTCATCTTCTTAAAATGGCCTTTCCCTGTATTTTGCTTTTTAGTGAAAGTGATGCCATAGTCATAAATTCCATTATAATAGCTTTATGGTATGTTTTTTTTTTTTTTTAATGTAATATCAAATTCTAATGTGAAAGTCTTTTAGATAGCAGAGTCACACAGCGGAAGCGTGCTGGGTCCATAATGTGAAAGTCTTTCAACGTTGCCAATATCTTTCAACATGACTTTCCAATATCTCTAAGATTAGGCTTTTCAATTATTTAGTGTCTCTAACAACAACTTCTGAGCTCCATAGCTTCCAACATCTCCAATTGCCAGATCTTCTAAATGTTACAACATCCATGTCTTCTACTCTCTGGCTTGTAACCTCTCCAATGCCAATGTTTTCTAATATTCTCAATATTGAGGTCATTAAAAGTCTAGATCTTCTAATATCTCCAACAATCAACCTTCAAGTTCTAGGTCTTGTCTTTCAGAGTCCAATATACTAACTTCCAATTTTACTATGTTCCCAATCCTCAATGTCCTCTATATACAGGTCTTCTAGAGTCAATGTATTTCATTGTGTCCAAGTTCAGCTCTTCCAATATCTTTTAGCACTTATACCATTCATTTCCTACAACTTTTAGTGTCACTTAAATCCTGATTTTACAAAATCTCGTCATTACCAGTTGCTCCAATGCCCAGGTCTTTCAATATCTCTAAGAACCTGGTCTTCCAACATGCAGGGGTTCCAACATCCCCAATGTCTGAATGACTATGTCTCTGAATATCCCGATCTCTTAAAGTTGAGATCTCCTAATGTCCAGGGCTGTAAACATCTTTGACTTCCAGCACCATGAAAATTACGTCTTTCAAATTATATGTCCTTTTTCCAGGTTTTTCAATGTCTCTCAATATCCAAGGCTTCAGATTTTAGGATTTCTAAATATATAGGTCTTCTATTGTCCATGTCTTCCAATGTTTAGGGCTTCCAAGATCCAGGAATGTCTCTAGTACTCAGGGCTTCCAGTATCCATGGCTTTCAATATCCATGAATTCCAACATTCAGGGCCTCCAAAGACTCCAATATCCAGAATAACCAATGTCCTCAAAATCCAAGGCTTCCAATATCTCCAACATCCTGTGCTTCCAATGTCTCCAATGTCCAGGGTTTCCAATGGCGCCAGTATCAAGGTCTTCCAACAACTCCAGGTCTTCCAGCAACTCCAAGTCTGCCTACAACATCAAGGTCTTCCAGCTAATTCCAGTCTTCCAGAAAATCCACATCTTCCAGACAGTCCACGTCTTCCAGACAATCCAGTCTTCCAGCAATCATAGGTCTTCCACAAAATCCATATCTTCCAGGAAAATCCACGTCTTCCAGAAAAATCCATGTCTTCCACGAATTTCAAGGACTTCCAGCTAATCCACACCTTCCGGAAAAATTTATGTCTTCCACCAAATCCAAGTCTTCCCATCAATCCAGATCTTCCAGCTAATTTACATCTCCCGGAAAAATCCAGGTCTTCCATCCAATCCACATCTTCCAGGAAAATCTACGTCTTCCGGTCAATCCATGTCTTTTAGACAAAAATCTATGTTTTCCACTAAATCTAGGTCTTCCAACAAAGCCACGTCTTCCAGAAAATTTGTGTCTTCCACTAAATCCTGGTCTTCTGCAAGTATGTCTCCCTAGAGATCCACGTCTTCCAGCAACCTCCAGGTCTTCCAGCAAATCTACGTCTTCCAAACAATCTAGGTCTTCCGGACAATTCGGGTCTTCCTGAAAATCCACGTCTTCCAGAAACGCCATGTCTGCCAGAAAATCCATGTCTTCCAATGACCATCAGATCTTCCAGACTATCCACATCTTCCAGAAAATCCATGTCTCCCATCAAATCATGGCTTCCAGAAAACCCATGACTTCCAGCAAATCCTTATCTTCCAACAAAGCTGTATCTTCCATCAGATTCATATTTTCCAGCCTACCAAAGTCTTCCAACAAAACTACGTCTTCCAGAAAAATCCATGTTTTCCAACAGAGCCATGTCTTCCAGAAAATCCACGTCTTCCACCAAATCCATATCTTCCATTCAATCCATATCTTCTGGAAAAATCCACGTCTTCCACTAAATCCAGTCTTCTGATCAATCCATATCTTCCAGACAAAATCTATGTCTTCCACTAAATCCAGGTCTTCTATCAAAGCCACGTCTTCCAGAAAATTCATGTCTTCCACTTAATTCTAGTCTTCCACAAATACATGTCTTCCTAGAGATCCACATCTTCCAGTAACCTCCAGGGCTTCCAGCAAATCTATGTCTTCCAAGTAATCCAGGTCTTCCAGACAATTCAGGTCTTCCTGAAGCTCCACGTCTTCCAGGAAATCCATGTCTTCCAATGACCTCCAAGTCTTCCAGACTGTCCACGTCTTCCAGTGATCCATGTCTTCCATCAAATCATGGCTTCCAAAAAATCTGTCTTCCAGCAAGTCCTTGTCTTCCAACGAAGCTTTGTCTTCCATCAAATTCATGTCTTCCAGCCTAACCATGTCTTCCAAAAAAGCAACGTCTTCCAAAAAAATCCACATCTTCCACCAAATCCAGATCTTCCATTCAATCCGCATCTTCCAGAAAAATCCACGTCTTCCAATCAATCCACGTCTTCCACCAAATTCAGTCTTCCAGTCAGTCCATGTCTTCCAGATAAAAATCTATGTCTTCCACTAAATCCAGGTCTTCCAACAAAGCCATGTCTTCCAGAAAATTCATGTCTTCTACTAAAATCCTGGTCTTCCACAAGTATGTCTTCCTAGAGATCCACGTCTTCCAGCAATCTCCAGGTCTTCCAGCAAATCTACGTCTTCCAAACAATCTAGGTCTTCCGGACAATTCGGGTCTTCCTGAAAATCCACATCTTCCAGAAAAGCCATGTCTTACAAGAAATCCATGTCTTCCAATGACCTCCAAGTCTTCCAGACTATCCATGTCTTCCGATAAATCATGGCTTCCAGAAAATCCATATCTTCCAGAAAATTCTTGTCTTCCAGCCCACCAACGTCCTCCAACAAAGCCTCATCTTCCAAAAAATCCATGTCTCCCAACAAAATTACATCTTCCAGAAAATCCACATCTTCCATCAAATCCAGATCTTCTATTCAATCCACACCTTCCAGAAAAATCCACGTCTTCCAATCAGTGCATGTCTTCCAAATAAAATCTATGTCTTCCACTAAATCTAGGTCTTCCAACAAAGCCATGTCTTCCAGAAAATTCGCGTCTTCCACTAAATCCCAGTATTCCACAGGTATGTCTTCCTAGAGATCCACATCTTCCAGCAACCTCCAGGTCTTCCAGCGAATCTGCGTTTTCCAAACAACCTAGATCTTCCGGACAATTCGGGTCTTTCTGAAAATCCATGTCTTCCAGAAAAGCCATGTCTTCCAGAAAATCCATGTCCTCCAGTGACCTCCAGGTCTTCCAGACTATTCACATCTTCCAGAAAATCCATGTCTCCCATCAAATCATGGCTTCCAGAAAATCCACATCTTCCAGCAAATCCTTGTCTTCCAACAAAGCTGTATCTTCCATCAAATTCATGTCTTCCAGCCTACCCATGTCTTCCAACAAAACTACATCTTCCAGAAAATCCACGTCTTCTAACAAAGCCACGGCTTCCAGAAAATCTACATCTTCCAACAAGCCACGTCTTCCAGAAAATATACGTCTTCCAACAAGCCACGTCTTCCAGAAAATCCACGTCTTCCAACTAAGCCATGTCTTCCAGAAAATTCATGTCTTCCTACACCTCCGGGTCTTCCAGCATCTCCACGTCTTCCGACAACTACCCAGTCTTCCAACAGCGGGCTCAATATCCACGTCTTCCATCTTCTAACATTCAGGTATTCTAACATGTTCCATTGTCCAGGTCTTCTGACCTTTCCCCAGGTCCAGACTTTTTCAAAATTAGTCATCCCAAGTCTGAGACTTTCCATGTTCAGATCTTTCCACAGAGAGGTCTTCCAACTCAAATATTCCTGCTTCTAGTAGAATTACCTTCAGAAAATTTAATAGCGTATCCCTTCTTATAAACCAGATCTTATGGATCAACCTAAGAGTGTTTTGTTTTGTTTTGTTTTTGCTATTAGGAAATGTGTATTTATTCTTTAGAACTTTTAAAGATAATGTTCATAAAACAGCTTCTATAGAATAAACACACATGGGATTGCTGTGATAAATTCTGCTACATTACTCATGCTTAATAGTTTTATATAGTCGATTATGTTTAGGTGCAAGTGAAATTCTTATTTTAATGAGAAAAATTCCTATTTAGAGACTGTTTATTATTTTAGATAAAGTAAACATACAGTGTGTGTTTATCTATTTTTCTAACATCAATTTTTGTTTGGTCTTGTGTGACTAAATATTAATAATGATAGTGATATAATAATAATAATAATAGTAATAACATTTAATGTGGCATTTGCTGCATCCAGGCACTGTTCTAAGGTCCTTACATGTATCACCTCACTTAATCTTTCATGAGAACCCATTGAGGTAGGTATTATCATCCCTGTTTTACAGATGAGGAAACTGGCACACAGAGGTGAAGTAACTTGTCCAAAGGACACAACTAATAAATGATAGAATTGGATTTGAACACTACTAGCCTGTTTCCAGAGTCCATAATCCTAACCACTGTGCTATAATATGAGAATTATAGGATCCAGAGCTTGATTGCTCCCATTTTATATATAGACTATCACAAGATCTTATATATAAATGGTCTCACTTTGTCTTGTTACTATCAGAACCTACTTGTATTCACAAATCTCATTTCTCAACTACCTACTATCATTCCCTTGCTCATGTATATGGAACTTGGCACAATGCTTCCTCATAGCATTTTCAGTTTGGGTAGAAATAATATAAGGGAGCACTGAGTTCAAGTACCCTTTGCTTTAGAATCATATTCATAGCTCCATGCTTTTGAGTACTGGTGCTTGGAATTCAACTCTCATCTACTTTAATTCCTTATATCTGACCATTCTCCAGTTTGCACCTTACTATCTAGACTATTTACCATTAGTTTGTTTCTGACCTCCAGGATCCACCTGCTTCAAATATCACTGACCTCTTGGATTCCTGACCACTGCCTAGTGTCCGACTAATGGTAACTACAATTCCTTAACTCCCAGCATGCTCACCTAGAGACCTAACTACTTGGTTTTCCAAGTCTTAGCTCTTATCAGTTGCTTCCAGCAATGTTGCTACCTGTGCCTCTGCCTGGCATGACAAGCATTAAAGCCACATAATGAAATTTCAGTTAGGCAAGGAAAGAATCTCTAAAGATTTAGAATCATCTACATGGTAATACAAATTAATAATAATAATAATAATAATAATAATAATAATAATACTTTAAATACCTAATGATTTAGTTTGCAAAGAGCTGTCATTTCATTCATTCAGTTATCCATTCATTCGACAAGTATTTATTGAGCGCCAACTGTGTGCCAGGCATATTTTAATGGAACTTAAAATCATCCGGGAGAAACAGACAATGTTCGAATAATTGAATAATTATTTATCAGTCGTTGTAAGACCATGAAGGAAAAGTAAGTATAGGATGCTGTGAGAGTCTGGAAAGTTAATGAAAGCATTCTTGAAGAAGTAACATTTATGGTGACTAAAGGATCTATTTTCTAATTTGATTATAACCTTGTGCCTTAGATAAGATGGATATTTTTACATCAGTTTTACTTAATTAGAGATTAAGCAGCAAGCACTAAAGATGGGCATGGGATTTGTGTATTTTGACTTCTTCCTCCCCCCCTGCCCCCCCACACTTTTCCATGCTCTCTTAAAATGTATAGTAAGTACAGTTTGGGCAATATGCATCAAGGGATATAAAAATCTTGGTATTCTTTGACTTACTATTTTTACTTCAATGAATCTACTCTAAGAAATTATCTAAAATGTGGATAACTCATGCGCAAAGATAATTCCTCACATAGTTATCTGGTATAGTGAAAAATAGTAAAACCTAAGGGTATAATTAGTAAATGTGCTATTTCCATGTGATGGAATATTATTCCATTAAAATATTTATGGTCTGTTCATATTATATAATATTAAGTGAAAAATCAGCACTTAAGATTATGTAAAGTATGACTGCAATTATTTTAAATATATAATCAGAGACAGGTGACTAGAAATAAACACATTGGAGACTGTGAGCTAATTATCTCTAGGTGGATAGGATAACATGTGAATTTTATTTACTTCTTTATGTTCTTTTTTTCCCCTGAAGTTCTTAGAGTATAAAAGTATTTTATATTCAGGAAAAATATTTAAATGATTGTGCATAAAAATTCATTATTTATCTTTTTATCATACATGTATTCAAGTTTTACTGTTGGAAAAACTTCAAAATATAAGTAAGTAAAGTGAAAAAAATTAAAATCTCAAATAAACTCAATATTCAGAGATAATACTGTAAAATTTTCGGTGTATATTCTTCCGTACTGTTTCACAAATATGTTTGTTTTATTTTATGAACAATAAAATGCTGTCTTTTAACCTACCTTTTCCACTTAATAAATTATAAGCATCTTTCCATGTTAGTAAATGTGTCTATATTATAATTTTAATACACAACTGATTTACTTTATTAAGTTCTTTCCATATTTTTGTATTATAAAAACTGCTGTGATGCCCACATATGTTATACGAGTTGTGCAAAACACAAACTGCTTTGTCCTACATGGTGGTCCTATATGTGATTGTGTGAAAATTTATTCAGATATTACTTAGAATAAATTCTTAAGAGGAGAATTGCTGATCTGAAGAATATGTACATTATAAAGCTTATAGTAAAAAGAATATAGGAAATACAGATATTCAACATTTGGGGGTGATGAAAGTGTATTGTAACTATATGATGAAATACTATGTAGCCATTTAAGTTTACACCACAGAAGAATATTTACTGAAATGAGAATATGTTCACAAGATCTCATTAGTGAGAAGAACAGGTCACATGAAAGTATATATAGTGTTCAAATTATGTAGAAAGGAAACAATATAAATGTCCTCAGAAAAATAACCTGAAAAAGATACACTAAAATGTTGGTAATAAATGTCCCCAAAAGAAAATGGATAAATGGTGGTATATTTACACAATGGAATATTATATAGCAGTGAAATGAATGTACTATAGCTACACATAATATAGCTAGATTTTACTTCTATAACATTAAATTAAGATAGCAAGTCCCAGAAGACTACATAGAATAGGATATCCTTTTTAGATTATTCAAAAACAAGTAAAACTAAACACTATATTATTTCGATACATATAAACGGAATCAAAACTATTAAAAAGCAAAGGAATGCCAATAAAAAATTCAGGATAATGGTTACTGAAGTTGAGGAAAGGTGGTTGGAATAGGAGAGAATCATAGAAGTAGATTGAAGTTATTGTCTGAATTCTAGTGCTTAGGTTTGATGGGTGAGTTGGGTGGGTGTTCATTACATAATTAAGAACATTATTGATTATTTAATAATCGTATGATTATTATGAAACAAGTTAATGGATAAAAATAAAAGGGCCATGCATGGCTTAATGAAATGGTGTGCATAATCTATGACAGCATGGATTATTCATAATTTAAGTCTGTGCACTTGAATTTCATGATGTTTTCTAAAGCAGTTATCTCTGGATGGTGGAAATACATGTACTTTTTATTCTTTTGTGGCTCTTTATTCTCTAAATTTTCTATAGGGAAAATATACTAGTTGAAAAACAAGCCCAAAATTACATAGAGTAAGATCTCAAATAATGTAAAAAATGTATGACAGGGACTGAAAAATAAGTGTTGACATGTTAATAATAATCGCCCCTATATAGTGAGATTTAATACAGCTTTTTTATATTTCCTTATAGTTTTTTAATCCAAGTGTTATAGAGTGAGATTGTGTTGTTTTCTTTTCTGTTACAAAAGTAACACATGCTTTTTATAAAAGTAAAAAGAGCAGTAGTATATAAAGGAACAAATGAAAATATCCTCCCAGTCCTGCTTCCCAGAGACAGCCATGATGATTTGTTTGCTTTGTACCTTCCAAGTACTTTTTCTGTTTATATGCATGTGTGTGT